GTGGTATAATTCAATTCAATTCTGACTAAAAAGCGTGGGGTGCATTTTACTACATGTTCATAACTCTCCTCTCATAGGATAGAATGATTTTAACATTTAATATATCAAACACGCCACGCTTTTTACTCAGAATTGAATTATTCTGTTAATAACTTAAATGTTATTATAATTTTATTTTAAGGTCATTGATTATGATTGATTGTTCGACCATCTACTACTGTAATATAAACTCTTTATTTTCAACTTTTTAGTTTGGTTAGCTATAAAAGCGTATTTTTTAGTTTTTTTTTTAACTATTATTTATTTTAAAAAATGGTACTGTCGACCTGTTCACTACGTTAATAAATCGAAATTAGCTGATTAAATGACTAAGAATAATTAATGTTTACGCATGCATTGCAATGTCAACCGGTATATTTACCTTGCGATTTCTGGAACCAATCGCATTTCGCAAAATTCTGAACCTAAGTTCATTCACCAATGCAAGAAATGTAATGTGTGACATTTTATGAGATAACATACATTGACTTGTCGATTCACATTACACGTTGCGCTAACATTGAGAATATAGTGCGTTCACCTTGCAGGTGTATAAAGCAATGCTACGGTATTTTTCCATACTTCCTTAGATGCAGAGGAAGACGCGTGATTTAAGGATATTCCAATTTCGGTGAAAGTGAGTTTGAGATTTGTTACCCTTGACAACTAAATATTGAATTAATGATTGCGGGGAATATTTGTAAGATCTTGTAGACCTTCATTTTCGATTGTGTTCCAGAATATTCGGAAACGAATTATACTTCCACGATGGTAAAGCTCAAATCAGTATGATTTTTATTTTACTGTTTCTTGATTCAATGTTCATGCCAATATAACCTTTAACTTATATCAGGGAAGTTTAACTAAGACATACAAGGTTTGGAGTTGTCCACAGAATTTCATAGAGCTGCTTTAGGCATTTATAAGGTTGAAAACGTTCGAGACTGAGGTTTTTTTTATTTTTAAGCTTCCTAAAATATTATCCGAATAAGCGCTGGAAATTAGTAATTCAAGAAATATGCAAGGTTATACGGAAAATATTTCTTAAAAACTCCATTAACACAAAAAAATTGCTAGCTGTAAAATATAAATGATTGGATTCGAGACATAAAAGGAATGTACTTATAAAAATTATTTCAAGTTATAAATGTTCAACAATATGGTTTGCTAACATCCCCTCAAAAATACCGTACTAAAGAACTTTCATAATAATTTTGACTGTCTTGACGTACACCAACTTAACGATTTTCAAAAAGTCATGGACTGTTATTTTAGGTTGCTTATACTTAAAACGATTGATATGAGCCCATATTAAAATGTCGCTGTTTTTGCATAAAAATAATAGAGGATAAATGTGCAATTAAATATCCCTTCCTATTTATTACGATTTTATAGAATCTTTTTTGGATATAGAGCACAGATAACATATATTCGTAGATTTGCATTCTTATAAAAATTATTTTTAGCAATAGATAAAAGCTACGTTAACAAACCTCTAAAAACACATCTATACGAAAAGATAATAATAATGAATCACATTTCCTCATGTTTGAATTTCATTATCTAAGGCAGTCGCGAAATTTGCCAACTCACAACTGACGATAAAAGGAAGACTTAAGTGATTTTAATTATTGAATTTAAATACTGTGATGCAAAATTGCTCTAATATCATTTGTATTGTGGTAGTTTTATATATTATCCACACTTCTGTATAAAAATTCTATCAGAGTAGACCATAGTTACAAAATTTCAAGTATCAGTGAAAAGTATTCGAATTTTACGAAAGGATAATGTACTCGTATATGTAAATACCAATTTGATTATTCTTGGCCTGTCTACTAAATGCTTCTCACGTAGCTCCACAATTATTACGCCGGTAATAATTTAATTGTTAAATAATATCAAATACAAAAAAAACAGCGATTATGATACATAATGTATGCACATCTAATTATGCTAGAAGCATTATGAGGTCAATTTTGTAACGGTTTGAATAATTTTGTTTCAGGAAATGGGTTACCGAAAATACTGCTTATATTGAGAGATTCATAAATTCATATGCTTGACTTAACGACTGTGGTATAAATAAGTGACAATGAAAATTTGAAGATTTTGCGACAACTTTTAAACAAGTTACATGAATGATTCAAATATTTATATTTATTTATGATATATAACATAACCGTGAAAACGGTCGTATCCTTTCGACGCTTTCAACTGATCTATAACATAATTTCTAAGTTAGAAATATTGAAGTATATGAATAGCATTTCGAATATATACTAAGTGACATATAAATCCGAACACCCAGTTTAAATGGTTTTATTTTAATAAAAGTTGGTGAATGTATTTATCTTACTGTAAATAACAAGTGAAAAAATGTTCAGCCTTATCAGTTGGACATTCCGGTTTTTATACTGCTTTTTTTTAATTCACTAACGCTCTAAAAATGAATATTTCAGCCGCAGTAAAGAATCAACGTTGGCGGATTTTGGTTCTTGACATCCTTTACGATCGGTTACGATGCCTAGAGTACGGAGACCTGTACGGTTTCGTCAACTTAGTGAGTTTGATAGGGGCCGTATAGTGGGACTTCGGGAAGCTGGACTTTCTTTTCGGGCAATTGCAGTTAGAGTGCAAAGAAGTGTAGACACTGTGGTTAGGTGTTGTCAGGCATGGCTTCGAGAAGGCCGTACGCAAAGAGCAAGGGGCACTGGACGCCGCCGTAGAACAACAGACCGTGAAGATCGCCGCCTAAGATTATTGGCCTTAAGGGACCGTTTCTCCACTACCAGGTCTATTGCAAATGAATGGTTTGCAGAACACGGAAGACCTATTGGCATGCGAAGTGTTTACCGACGAATGAGAAGTTTTGGCTTGTTTTCATACCGGCCACACTGGGTCCTCCCTTTAACTCGAGAACACCGACGTAATCGCCTTGAGTGGTGCAGATAACGGTCACTCTGGGATCAGGAATGGAACAGTATTGTCTTTAGTGACGAGTCTCGATTTTGTTTAGGCATGCACGATGGTCGTGCCAGGGTTAGAAGGCGACGTGGTGAAAGGAGGAATCCACAGTTTTTTGTTGAAAGACATGTTCATCACACTGTTGGAGTTATGGTTTAGGGTGCTATAGCTTATGGTTCCAGGTCACCTTTAATCTTCATGAGAGGTAACATGAACGCGCAGCGTTATATCCACGAAGTTCTAGAACCCCATCTTTTACCCTATCGTGACACCCTGGCAGATCCAACTTTCCAACAAGATAATGCCCGACCACATGTTGCAAGAGTCACAATAGACTTCTTTCAACATAATGATGGCACATTGTTACCATGGCCACCAAGATCTCCCGACTTATTCCCAATTGAGCACGTGTGGGATATGATGGGTAGGAGATTGCTCAATTTGCAACGTCCTCCTCAGACTCTAGAAGCACTTCTAGAGGAGTTGGTGGTTGCCTGGAATGAGATACCACAGGAGGACATTGACCACCTGATCAGAAGCATGCCTAGGCGCGTTGGAGAATGCGTAGCACATCACGGTGCATCCACACATTATTAAAGGTCAAAGGGCTTTAATGCAGTGCAATCATTTTGAAATTTTTATCATTTACTTATTATGCTTCATTAAGTACTTATACAAAATTTTATTAAAATAAAACCATTTAAACTGGGTGTTCGGATTTATATGTCACTTAGTATATATTAACTGTATTAAACTCCGGTTTTTCATATCAACATATTTTTCCTATCTGTAAATTTGTTGGGCATTACATTTCTGTTCCTTCGTGTGGAATTATCAACTTTGTACAATGAAATGATTCGAATCAAAGAATATGCAAATTATATGTTGGAATTCCCAAATGAATTCTGTGGATCGAAAAAGTGGAAAAAACAATACGTTTGCGTGAGAATTGCTTCAAAGAACATACAATTAATATTCATGGATTATTCAAAACCCAAAATCTGATAAACTGACGATGATAGTCCACTGGCGTTTCCAGAAAAAGTTGGGGGGGCTGAGAAACGAATCTAAAGTTTGAGTGAGTGGGGTCCTTTATTGGTCTTATTTAAGGAAAAACGAATTAGGTTGTGGGATTCTGGAAGGGGGACTTTAGCCCCAAATCCAATACGCCAATGTGACAATCTGAATAGTTCTAATTATAGATAGGCATTCCAAAAAGGAGACTGAGGTATTCCGCAGGTTTCCTCCACAGTAGTGCGTATGCAGTGAACAAAAATAATATTTAAACACAAGCAGAAATTCCAAAGGTATTAGACAATTTTTCGTAATATAGAACACCCATCTAGCAACATTGACAGTATTAGTAACCGCACTTTGTGTGCCTTCATATAATTAACAATTCAAAAAAAATATTTTACAATAAAATAATACAAATATAAAATAATTTAGATTATTAACGACATCAGATAAGACATGTTTTTATATTATGGTGCTATTTACATTTTTTTCAACTGGAACAATCTCAATACTTCTGATTCCGAACGAGTGAAGGAATCTAATACAAATTTGACCATAACGAAAAAGGGTAGAATTAGCTTTTTTTACAAGTGCACCACTTTTTGCTTGTGCGACATATCAATACTTAATCTGGTATCCTCGAAGAAAGTCATTGTGAGAAAGTTTGCTGGGATACTTCTGTGAATTCGCATAATAATATAACCTAGATAGTCATTATAAAATGACTTTATGCTTAATGCTTCATGCTTAGTATTCTGTTATTAAGTTTTATCTCATTAGATAGAACGATATGACAGTCTCATTAGGCGCATATAATGAAATACTTAACCGTATTGTCCATTTGATACAAATAGCAACTGACATAAAGCTGCAAACTTTGTGCGCATTGGTTTAAAAGCATGTTGTTTAGATTTAGTTTGAATGAAATTGCATGGAATCTCCTATTATATAGCTAAGTAAATAAACAGATGACTCACCCTAAATCTCAATTCTCCGACCGGTGCTTTAGCGTAGGGGATGCCGCAGAAGGCGTAGAAACTCCCTCCGTGGTAGTCCAACGATGTTTTCCCTCTGAGTTTCCCTTCTTCGCACGACACTATCAAGTCCGTCATTTCGGCGACTTTGTTTTTCCTTAGCTGAATTGTGATGGAGTTGTTGCTCTCCTTATTTAAATTGTTTCTCAGTTTATGTGTTTCTCTCGCTGGTTAACTGTTTTAACTAAACACCGACTGCTTCAGAGCTTCGAGAAGATACGACCGGCAATGCCGAAGATGGTGACCCACTTTCAGGTACTTTCTTCGGTCGCGAATTCTTCAGCGGTCTAGCGCCACGCCGGTAAGAGGCAGTAACGTTTCACACTGAAAAAGGCAATAATTTAATTTAACAGTTTTTCTAGCAGGATTTGTAATTTCAGTCACCAAAATAATTGTGTCAACCAGATTAACTTTGAATTTGAAATAAAATGACATTAGTTCAGAACAACGGGACTTCGAACTTATGACAGAAATTTGAACGTTCAAATAGAAGTTTCAAAATGCCATCAGTTTCACTGAATCAGGTATCATTTGTATCAATTAACTCATTGAATAGTACAGTTTATACAAACAAAGCATAACTTTAATTGGCATCAAGACATAAGCGCAACGTTTGAGCAAGTATACGGCCTTTTCAGCTCATCAAAGGAAAAACATACTTCATTTACATTTTGGAAAAAAGTATTTGGTCATTGAGTTTCGACGCCAAGTATGCGTGTTAACTGACGTCAATGAATGAAATCGTATGGAATCTTTACGAGATGATATTTCAAATTTTGTATAACTAAATACCACTTCTTGGATTTTTCAATAAAATGTTTGTTTTGCCGGTGAAAGTAAACATCGTATGGTTAACCATACGATGGTTGACAGATGTTTACGGTACATATTGTCAATTCTTGCATCAAGTATTTTTTATTCTTGACAAATGGCGATAAAAATCTTCCTTATTTTTAAGTTGTACATAAATATACAACACTATCAGGTCTCCTTGTAGGAGTTCATCACTCAACCCATACACAAATATTTCAAAAAATTTGTAGAGCTCTTGAAACGTCAAAAAACGAAACTTGAGCGATTTTTAGTTTTTCTTCTTTCCTCTAGTGTTGCCACCACTGTACCAACTTACAAATACTACAAAGCTTTTTCGTCATTGGCATAATAGCAACCTTGTGTGAAAATTTCAACAAAGTCCGAGAGGTGCTTTCCAAGCTATAGACAGACTGACCGACAGACAGACCAACGGAAATGAGTGACATGTTTTTTCGTAATGTATACAGGGTCCGCAAAGTTGGAGTTTTCCTTTTCAGAAACAACTACCCTTGAAATAACAAAGGTAATGTATAGTGAAACGAGGGCGACCAAGCAAAAAAAAATAAAAAAAAGTACTCACTCTCCAGTTGACGAGAAGGGCTAAGTACGTCTCTGCCCGAAATCATACCGCTCCAACAGAAAATGAAATCAGCTGATGCGCTACCGAGCAGACGCCGGCGGTGGTGCAGACCACGAACAGAGGTAACAAATATGACCATCGTGCAGAAACCACATTGATTGTCTTACACTTAATAGGACATCTTCTAGCAAGGAAGGCAAAATGTTGCGTGAAAAGTCTAGGTATTGCATCCCGTCCAATCGATTTGGGAGAATAAATGGTCCAATGAGCATACCGTTCACCATGCTAGCCCAAACATTCACCGAAAATGTTTGTTGAAAATGTGCCCGACGGACAGCGTGCGGATTTTCTACTGACAAAACATGAGTGTTGCGAAAGTTATTCACCCCATTACGCGTGAACGTAGATTCGTCTGTCACCAATATGCACTTCAAAAAGTCCGGATTATTCTCATGTTGATGCAACAACCACTCACAAAACCGCACTCTTGCTCGTCAGGTTGAAGGGCTTGTACACGTTGGACGTGAAACGGATACAGCCCCTCTTCACGCAGCGCTTGCCACACTTTAGTTTTTGATACTTGCACTTCTCTAGCCACGTCTCTAGTGCTTGTTGTTTTTTGAAACGCAATCGATTATACGGGTTCGTTTACCTCTACACGCGTGACCGTAACCGTCGGTTGAAGGTTGCATACTGACCTGACACTGACCCCGACCCAGTTCTGTCGTCGGGTTGAGCTAGTGTCCTAGTATCACTCGGGGATGTCGCGAGTCGCGGCTACAGGAAGGTATTCAGATATTTTTGATGTTGCAGAGCCCTTTATCTCGGTTCCCTTAAGACATTGGTGTATATGGTACTAAGAAAAATTGCTTATGTTTTCAAGATCCACACGTCGTGTAAAGGAAAACCCCAACTTTGCGGACACCCTGTATAGCATATAACGTACAAAAAATTCACATCTCGATTTCGGAATGGAAGTAAAAACGACCTACTCACCGAAGTTTCACAAAACGTGGAATCACTAAAAGCTAAGAGATATTCCTAACACTCTTCAGAACTCTTCGCATGTCAAAACGTAAACTATAGGCAATTTTGTCCCGACCGAGTTTTGAAGTGTAAGTGATTATAGATATCCATGCGAGAAAAAATACAATTCTATTTCCTGGAAGTTATTTATTGAATTTTTCAAATGCTTAACATTATTCTGTTTGCTTATTTAAGATTTAGCACGAATGCTGCAATTACATTCTTTTTAAAAAACTACTACAATTACATAACACACAAATATTCAGAAAACAAAACTTGCATCTCTAGCAATGTCCACTGTCCATGAACTGTTCTTTGAATTTTCTTTTAAACATCTTTAAAATACATTTTTTATATTATTAAATTCAAGTAATCCCTTCTGAGATATTGATTTGCTAGTTATATTACTATTGCAATTTTGTAAATGGAAATCTATATTTCCTCTTGCATAATAATCAATATAATGTTGTGGCAAAAGATTTATTTCAAATATACAAGAACGAAATATGATATGAAATTCTTTATTTTCAATCACTGCAATTCTTGTAAAATAGAATTTATTTTGGTGTACCGATTTCCATCCAATATTACTCTTATAGCTTTATTTTGTAGCATCTGTAATTTTGATAATAGAGATTCATTTGCACTGCACAATTTAGTTGACCCATATAGTAAATGTGTTAAAATAATTGTATGACAATATTTTTTTGAATTATGTACTAAGACTATGAGAACCCCTATACAACTAGTTTTTTTTGCAATTTTTTAAATAATGTATTCATAGTGACCTCAAACTTTAATTTACCCTCAATATATATAGCCAAATATTTAATTGATTCAACCTTTTCAATTAATCCACCATTTTTATCCTAACTGTAATCGCATTTTCATTCAAGTATTGCCCTAATAGCATACATTTTGACATAATGGAAAAAGTTAGATTGTGTTACAGTTTTAGTTTATAACTTTTAAACTGCTCATACTTATTGCTCTTGGCTTGGTTGAAAAGTACGCGAACGATATGTCAAGTTAAAAGCTTAAATGATTATTAAAAGAAAGAATTTACATTCAGACTCTATCCTAAATTACCCTGATTAAAAATCCATATTACCAAATAAAAAAATTGTATACTCACCGAAATTTTCCAAAAATCGGGAAAGCCTTCTTAGGTTTTTAACCTGCAACTTTCTAAAGCACTTCAAAACTTTTGTGTTGGTAACTGAACTGGAGGCAACTCCGTCGCGATGAAATGTTGGAGTATGAGTGATTGGAGTTAGCGTCGCGCGAATGTATATAAATATCCGCGGTAACCGCTAACCGCGTGCGCTCCGGGCGGGCTGCCAGCTGTATACGCTGAAAAAAATTGAGTATACGGAAAGACAGCCTTGATGCTATGCGAAGTCAGCGACACTCTTATCACTAGCGTCGCGGCGACATTCGCGTCCTGAAATCAAGGAGAGAAAAGACTATAACAATCAAGGAGGCCATAAAGGCCTACTACAATTGTAGGAACGACTGACAATATGGCCCTAAAGGCAAGACCCACTCTACACTTCCACAATACCAAGACCAAGACTTGACGCGCAAGACTAAGACCAACACTATGTTGCAAGACTCCGAACAAATCGTCTACCCCTCGCCCTTAAAAAAGTTTTCTATGGAGACACGGGAAATTGTAAACTCTAGAATTCCCCCAAGTCGAAAGATTCGCTCTGGAAGCGCTTTTGATGTTTCAAGGTTGCAAAAATGTGAGTGTTAAAATGTTTGGCAACATTTCCTTTTTGTCAGTACTCAATATTCTTAACGGACATTGCAGGAGCACCCGAGAGGTTAGAAAAATTAGATGTTTTTTCTACAAGTCTAAACACCATATTTTCCCTGTAATCCGTAGAACCAAATCGCCAAGTTACACCATTTAAGCTTTCTGAATGTGAGCAGAGGAGGCCGTCAATTTACTATTACAACCATTCCTCTCCTCCTTTATAAATACGTATCCCATTGCAAAATTTTCGTCATAGTTATATCTTAATGATCGAAATACGTACATGTTTTCTTAACGCATAAATAAATGTTTGGATAAGTCAACAACTAGCGTACCAAGTTGATGACCAATGAATCGTCACCAATCAGGTAACCTTTAGAATGCGATAGGTATATATTAATTGCCAGACTTGTGAGTAACATAAAACTCTAAATTGCTTTTTACTGTTTCATTATTTACATATTGCTCAGATTTCTATATTTACTGCTTTATACACAACTACATTTGTTATCGTATGAATAAACATTCTCCGAATTATTGATGGTAATACCTGCTAAGAAAATAATTTGTTTTATCTTCGTCACAGGTGAAATGGATGGTAGCTTCTTTGCGTAAAAGGAAATCCATGCACGTATGATCAAAAAAAGTGGCTTGTCTTAGTGTGATCGTATCTCAGATGTCGTCAAAAACTGAGGTCAAAATTTTTCAATATTTCATATTGTGAAACAAATATCTTTGACGCTTTTACATCATATTATACTTAATAAAAGAAAAGTTTGCTTTGAAAATGTCATCCACAAAATGTGTGCCAAACTATTATGATAGGCGAAATTCCAGTGAAGTTAGTATAGTGAGCGTTTCAAAGTCATACGAGGGGGTACCCAAGAAAAACCGGAATATCTTTTAAAAGCTATTTATTTTCAACTTTTTCACAAAATAGCCTTATTTCCTTCAAAATACTGTCCCGTACAACTAATACACTTGTCCCACCTGTGCTTCTACTGTTCGAAACATTTTTTGAAGTCTTCCTTCATCCCTGAAAATAAGAAGAAGTCGTACGGAGCCAGGTCAAGAGAATAAGGTGCGTGAGGCAGCGAAACCATGCCATTTTTAGCCAGAAACTGTCGAACAGAGATGGCTGTGTGCGCAGGTGCATTATCGTGGTGGCAGCACCAGTCTCCTGACAAATCGGGTCTTTTTTGCCGAGTACTGTTTCGCAGTCATCTTAAAACCTCCAAATAGCACAAGCTCTCGAATTTTCAACATTTACGTCGATTCGGGCAGTTGATGGACGTCCAAAGCGAGGTTTGTTATCAATCGCCTTTTTTAAATCCAGCAAACCACTCGTACACCTGAGTTTTTCCCATAGCATCATCTTTGTAAGCTATCTGCAACATTAAAACAGTTACAGCAGCATTTTTACCAATTCGAAAGCACGAAACAGCTCTAGCAAAAATGATAACTACACAGCAACGAAACAAGCCAGTTCCTCAACTCAGGTGCCACTGAACTGGTAATGAGTTGCGCTGTACGCCTCTAGCAGCATAAATGTGAACTACACAAGCTCCGCCCACTGCAATGTTATTCCGGTTATTTTTTGGTACCTCCTCGTATGTAGCACGAGTGAAAGAGCACTTTGTAGTGAACAACCATCTTTATGGGCATCTCATTTATTCTAGCATTCAATTCTGTTGTACGTATATCATATTTGTGGCCCTAGCATGTGCCTAACTTAATATCGACTTTAAAAAGGTAAATTGTAAAACCTTAACATGGTGCAACGTCTCTTTTCTCAAAGCATTACAGTCTAATTGTAAAGATATAATTGTATACAGAAAGCTGAGATTTTATATTCAACTGTTATTTAGTTTTTCTCAATATAACGTTCATTAATACCTTCACTAAAAGTTCTTCATCTTTCAGTTCTATTGGTTATATCTTCGTCAGTATCGGTAGCTTGAATCTGTTTATCAAAATAGACTAACAGCACACATAGTGACATTGTCAGCTTTTTTTGTCTTAACGGGAGCAGCTTAAAAATTTTAATTACATCATATTCGTAATGATATCGTACCACATAACAAAAACATGAAGGAATTACCCAAATAGGATAATGCTAAATACGGTTTACGATATATTTAATTTTTCACGAGTTGTTATTAAAATTCCTTAATTCACAGCTAAACAGGATTCTTAATTCTTAATTAGGTGATGAACCTGTGATCATGTTTTATAAATTCAATATACAGGGTGGCCCATCCATATGTGGACGGAATATTACTCATAAACAAATACATTTTGGAAAAATCTATTTATGGGATGCTATACATCACATTTGAGGGCACATTTCTAAAATATTGGCCATTATACAGGGTGTCCCAATTTCGACCTACATATCAAAGTAGTGATTTTTCAAATGAAACGCCTCAAATTTTATTGCATATTTGGATAAACCAATTCAAAAGAAGAAAATTGATATGACATACTATGGGGTTTTGGTAATTAGCTACTGAGATATAATTTGTTTTGTCTATAAAAACTCCAAACTTCGGCAACCCCTCAGTCCGCCATTTTGAAATTTGAAGTGCTAAATTTTGTATCAAAAAAACTTACACACCTCAGCTTTTATCTTATTTGTTACTTTTTCGAATTTTAATTTTTGCTCATACAGGGTAGTCAAAAACGCAAATTGTGGTCTATCTCAAAAATTTCAAATGCATCACCCTGTATATTTGTGCAAGTTTGGATTCAAAAGTATGTTATATCAATCTTTTTCTTTTGAATTGGTTTGTCCAAATATGCAATAAAATTTGACTCATTCCATTTAAAATATCACAACTTTGATATGTAGGTCAAACTTGGGAGAACCTGTATAATTGCCAGTATTTTAGAAATGTGCCCTCAAATGTCATGTGTAACATGCCATAAATTGATTTTGCCAAAATGTATTTGTTTATGAGTAATATTCCGTCCACTCATGGATGGGCCACCCTGTAGATAGTATTGTCGCAAATTTCCATGATCTGTATCTATCTGACACGCTGCGTTACAACCGAAGAAATTGATCTTGTATGAAGCTGTTTTCAGATATTAAATTTATGTGCTTAGTTGATGATATATTATTAAGTATACCTGGGAGTTGAAAATTCATTTTTTACATTCATGACTAAAAATTGAATAAGGTACTACATAAGAAAATTATTATAGTAATGTATTGAGTTAAAAAATGGAGGTCATAAATAATGATACTAATTTTGTTTATCAGTTTATATGAAACATATAAACAGGTAACCAAATTATGTTGTATGAACAAAACTGTACGTCGCATTGTCAACATTATGATTCGCAAGAAAAAACATAAAATCTTATCGGTTTTAAGGTTGACATATCATTTGCAGAATAATAATTTAGTGTGAAACAAATTTCAATATCGAAATTTCTTCAATATCCATATATCACATATGTTGTTACTTTTACATTCCCGAACTTTAGTGCAGAGTCTTGCTTTGGAGATGATTCAATATTTTTTGCTATTTCATGATTCTTCTTCATCAATTGTGACCTTGGTGTATAGTTTTTTTTATCTTTTAGAAGATAAGTACAATGTATTTGTCAAACAAAGGTACATGATTCAAGCATTCAGAAAGTTGCGTTAGGTTGATGTTTAGACTAATGTTTATCTTCGATATACACGTTACTATTAATAGACTTGTTTTTTAATTTCTTAGATAAATCATAGATTCAATGAAAATAGTTAAAACTGTCATACTCAAAAGAAAATCCTATAACAGTATTAAGCACGTTCACTTTGGAATATCCGGTACTGATAGTCTAATCCAGAAAATGACAAGGGGTATCGAGTAATAGGTTGGTTGAAAGATCTTTCGCAGTCCTTTATTTTACGTTTGATTTTTCAAAATCAGTCGAATTTGTTCAGATAGAAAACGAAAACACACGAAAATACCACTTTTTATATCAATAAGTGTTCAAAATGTTGCCCGTTATGGTTTGCCAAATCTACAATTCGTTTATAATTTAGAACGGAAACTACCAACATAAACAGCAATTCGGAAGATTACAGATTCAGATTCATATTCATTTATTGATCCAGTTAGATCTACATTGTAGACATGGGATAAGTCGGTGTATACAGATTAAAGTATAGATAAAATGAAGTACAATACAAATAACAATAGGAACATAAAACAAACAATATGATACACACATGGCAATAAATTATTTATTAAGATCTATCAGAAGCACTGTAGAATGTGACAAATTCACCTAGGTCACAAAAACCGCAGTCCGATATCTTGTTCCGCAAACGTCTTTTGAAAAGCCCTATGGAGTTTACGTTTTTGATCTCCGGAGGTAATAAGTTAAAAAAGTATATTTCTGCTGTTATAAACGATTTTGAATGAAACGTATGATATGACACATGTCTAACTATATTATTTTTATTACGAGTGCTGTAGTCATGGAGGTCAGTATGCTTAAGATAATCATTTCTGTGCTGAAAAATATATGTTACAAGTGTATAAAGATATATGCATGCTACTGAAAGTATTTTGTGTTTTACAGATATCTCACGACAAGAAGATCTGGACCGTATTTTAAATATAATGCAAATGATTCTTTTTTGTAAGACAAACACTCTAGAGATTTCACTAGCCTGGCCCCACGCAGTAATGCCATATGAAATGTCAAGCACAGTAGACATCAATTAATGCTGAGGTGTTTAACATCCTCCCTAGCGTAAGTATTAGATACAGACTTTTTCCAAGCTTCTTACATACGGAATCAATTTGCTCTGCCCATCTTAAATTGCAATCAAAGCTTACACCTAAAAACAGTTTGTTTGGAAGTTACAACTGTCTTACATTGAAGACTGAAATTAAAATTTGACGCAATTTTTGGTTTTGTAAAATATTCAACTGAAACAGTCTCTTTTGTATTTATTATTAGTCTGTTTTTGGAGCACCATTGACTGAACTCATTAACCGAATCATTATTTTTTTCTTGAAGACGATCTTGCGATGAGTCAACTCAAATGATATTTGTGTCGTCTGCATACAAAAGTAATTTTCCGTAGGATAAGTGTGCAGGCAAATCATTTATATTATTTACACGTGGCAACAACCAAATAACAACCCGGATTCTTTTCATCAACACATATATCCTGGGCGAACTGTATTTATTGTTATACCTGTTCAATTATATGTTGCGAAGGGGAAGAAAAAAATTAATTTGCTGTCATTCAACTTTGTGACAATCTTGAGATAGTGAAAATTAATTTATTGATTCAGATTTTACTTCCAAAATGGTTTACACACTAGCCGAAAGAGTGGAAATGATTCTAATTTATGGTGCCCAAAATTAATGTGCCCCGCAATCTGCCATCACGTTTAATGCCAGACAGCCTGGGAAGATAACTTCGCATAGGTATACTTTGGACATTGTTACTGAATTTCCTTAACTTCAAACTGGATCTGTTGCAAATAAAAAACGTGATCATCGGAGAGTTTTGGATGAAGCTGCTCAAGTTCAAGTTCTGGGTTATTTTGGAAGCATAACTGCAGGTATTGGAGCAATGAAAATCCTCATGCTTTTGTTTAAGGGCATACCCAGTACCCCCAAAAAATAATGTATGGACAGGCATTTTAGGAAACAAAGGCCATTGTCTATTAATGGAAATTTGAATGGAGACATTTATTTGGATATGTTGGAAAATACCATCAATCCGCTTATCACTGAAATTATTGAAAACCAAATCGAAGAGGATGGAAACCCTATATTTGATGAGGCTGAAATATACGAGGGATTTTTTTTAAGTTTTGCATACAGAAACATAGTAGGCCGCACGGATCGAACGTCAGTACTTAATCTTAACCTCACTCCTTAGTAAACTTAAATTCAAAGTTTTACAACAATACTTGCAGTGTTCTCACTACAGTGAATTTTTAAGTGTCCCCAAGTCATTAGAAAAATGGAACTCAACCGAGAACATTTACGCGCCATAATTTATTACAACTTTCAGAGACAATTATCGCAACAAGAATGCCTTGCTGAGTTACTGTCTGTTTTCGGCAACGAAGCGTTACATCAGTCGACAATTTCCCGTTGGTATGGAGAACTCAAACGTGGACGGGTGAGTCTTAGCGACGATCCCAGGGTGGGTGCACCAAAAACGGCAGTCACCCAGGAAAACGTCGATGCTGTGCGCAAACTCATCATTGAAGATAGATATGTGACATATCGCGAGATTGAGGCGTCCTTGAAGATCTCAAAGACCTCAATTCAAAAAATTTTACACGAATAATTAGGAGTAAAAAAAATAGTTTCTCGTTGGATACCCCAGCTGTTGATCGAAGAGCAGAAAGCAGCCAGGGTTAATTGGTGTTGGTGTTGACCGTTTCATTTCTGGAATCTCAAAAAATGTGTACAGCATTGTTAGTGGTGGTGGATCGTGGATTTTTTGTTATGAACCAGAAAATAAACGACATTTGGCTGTTTGGGTGTTCCAAGGTGAAGAAAAGCCAACAAAAGTCATCCGTTCTCGAAGTGTTTCGAAACAGATTGTAGCGACATTTGTGTCAAAAGCGGCTCATATTGCAACAATTCCTCTTAATGAGCCAAGAACTGTTACTGCAGATTGGTTTACCACCATTTGTTTGCCAAAAGTCATCACCGAGCTTCGAAAAATCAACCCCGAAAGAAGAATCATCCTCCACCAAGACAATGCAAGCTCGCACACAGCCCAAAAAACAAGGCAGTATTTAACGAAAGAAAACGTGGAATTATTGGACGATCCTCCATATAGTCCCGATCTAAGTCCTAACGATTTCTTTACTTTCCCGAAAATTAAAAACAGACTGCATGGTCAAAGGTTCCAGTCACCAGAAGAATCAGTTGACGCATTCAAAAATACCGTTTTGGATCTGCCAGCAAACGAGTAGAATAAGTGCTTCGAAAATTGGTTCGAGCGCATACAGATGTATATTAATCTTCGTGGAGAATACTTCGAAAAACAATAAAGTCATTTAAACCTACCTACCGTGTTGTCTTATTTCCATATGCAAAACTTAAAAGACAACCCTGGTATTTCCAGCAAGACGCCGCTACTCGTCACTACGTTTTTCCGGTTCGGCAATGGCTAGACGACGAGTTTCCAGATAAATGGATAGGGCGAAAGGGACCAATAGAATGGCCTGCTAGATCTCCTGATTTGACACCATTAGACTTTTTTCTACGGGATCATTTAAAATCTATTGTGTTTACTCCCCAACCTGAAAGTTTGGATGAACTTCGTCAACGCATCATCGAAAGCTGCCATGACATTCCACATTATGTTTTTGAAAATGTCCGTCAGGAATTTGAACATCACCTATATCATTGTTTGGCCAATTACGGGCAACATTTTGAACACTTATTGAAATAAAAGGAGATGTGCTGTGGCGTGGGATTGAAAAAGTCTCTCTATATCTAATATTAATGCTATTCACATTTCCTCTACGTATGAATTTGGTGGCTAGATACGACGGTGTTTTTGAATAGAGAACCCTGAACTTAGGAGCTGGTATTTATACATTCCATCAATTTTCCTTCAGCTGAGGTCATTATTGGCCTTCTTTTACAATTTTACAAGCCTGCAATATGTATTCATAATACTTTGAATAAGATTTTTTCATATAATATCTAAATAGGGATAGTAAACCATTAAGCAACGAACTTTTTGAAACCGATTTTCAAGGTAGGTTTGAATAAACGGAAGAGGTTTTTCAGAAAATCCATAATAACTGCATTCAGACAGAGAGGAAGTGGATTACTACTTACGTCAAACGGGATATTCATTTGCACTTATGCTAAGAATATTAGGAGATGCAAAACCTTCTTGTCACTTGACATCCCAGCAGCTAATAAAAGTCAGTATTTCTGGCACGTGTTAAGCACATTCCATCAGAATCCATCCGGTGAATTTCTCTGTCAATCGCGCATGTGCTTGTGTCCGAGCGACCAATGGCATCGTGACAATTGGACCAGCTTATCGGTGTTCATTTTGTTTTTTATTTTACATTATTTGACAATATTTTTGGTGGAAAAGGTATGTTTCGTTATCTGACTAATGGACATTATTGAGTAAGGCGCTTCCAAGATCATAACCTCAAAAAAAAAATGCGTAATACGAAGTTTAATATGCAGTGAGAAGAAATTGGTATCTGCAGGTGCAGATGGTGGAGTGACGCGGGTAGTATATGAATATTACAGTGAGAACAACAATAGACTTTTAGAACACGATAGTCTTAATAAAAATACAGTGATATGATAGACACATTTTATTATGAATACATGGTTAATATGCTCTGTTAGGTTTTCAATTGTCCTTCTTTGTTTTGAAGATGACAGGTTCTGCCTATGCCTATGGTGTTATCATCTCGATATACCCTAAGCAGCCATTAAATGTTTCTACATCTGACGAACCACTGGATACTTCATATCCGTTGAGAATATTAAATACATGTCATCAGAATTGTTGTATCCAGATTCTTGGATAGGGACGAACATCTGGATATCTCTAATATCCACCTTGGATATCTAATAGACAACCATTGGAAGTATGTGTGCTCTCTGGGGCCACTTTGCCACATCATCGGATGAGAATACTCATGGAACATGTGAAGATCTTGAAGAGCACATTCTTAGAACTTTTTTGATTGGATACGAGGGATGTCTTTTAAGTTTTGCATATGGAAATAAAACAACACGGTACATAGTTTTAAATGACTTTATTGTTTTTCGAAGTTTTCTCCACGAAGATTAATTCACATCTGCATGCGCTCGAACCAATTTTCGAAGCACTTATCACACTCGTTTGCTGGCAGTTCCAAAACGGCATTTTTGAATACGTCAACTGCTTCTTCTGGTGACTGGAACCTTTGACCACGCAGTCTGTTTTTAATTTTCGGGAAAGTAAAGAAATCGTTAGGACTTAGATCGGGACTATATAGAGGATGGTCCAATAATTCCACGTTTTCTTCCGTTAAATACTGCCTTATTTTTTGGGCTGTGTGCGAGCTTGCATCGTCTTGGTGGAGGATGATTCTTCTTTCTGGGTTGATTTTTCGAAGCTCGGTGATGACTTTTGGCAAACAAATGGTGGTATACCAATCCGCAGTTACAGTTCTTTACTCATTAAGAGGAATTGTGGCGATATGACCCGCTTTTGACACCAATGTCGCGACCATCTTTTTCGAAACACTTCGAGAACGGATGACTTTTGGAACACCCAAACAGCCGACTGTCGTTTATTTTCTGGTTCATAACAGTAAATCCACGATTCATCACCACTAACAATGCTGTACACATTTTTTGAGTTTCCGGGATAGAAACGGTCAAGCGTTTTTTGACACCAATTAACCCTGGCTGCTTTCTGCACTTCAGTCAACAGATGGAGTATCGAACGAGAAACTAATTTTCTTACTAATAATTCTTCATGTAAATTTTTTTGAATTGAGGTTTTTGAGATCTTCAAGGACGCCTCAATCTCGCGATATCTTCAATGATGAGTTTTCGCACAGCATCGACGTCTTCCTGGGTGACTGCCGTTTTTTGTGCACCCCCAAAACAGACAGTTACTCAGCAAAGCATACTTGTTTGCGATAATTGTCTCTGAAAGTTGTAATAAATTATGGCGCGAAAAAGTTCTCGGTTGAGTTCCATTTTTCTAGTGACTTGACACTTAAAAATTCACTGTAGTGAGAACTGTACGTATTGTTGTGAAACTTCGAATTTCAGTTTACTAAAGGGTGAGGTTAAGATTCAGTACTGACGTTCGATCCACGCGGCCTACTATGTTTTTATATGCAAAACTTAAAAGACATCCCTCGTATACTGTAGGACTTTGCAAATCACCTAATGCAAATATTCTTATGGGTTTGTAAGATATTCTTAGCACAATCTATTATGTTATTTACACAGATGTTTAGACCGTACTATTGCTGTTAGAGGACATTCTTAGAACATGCATACGAAGTGATTTTGTGTACTGGAAAAAACTAGTAATGAAGCTTCAGGCAGATTGTTTCACATTCTTAGAATGAGAAATAGAAGCCCAAAGAGTCCATCTAATGATCCTGGAATGCATCATGTAGAAGAACTCAGCGAAACGAAGTCAATTTACAATCCGTTGATATTAGGGAGGCTCGAGACTCTTTTAAGGAAATGTCACTGATCAGTTGGATAGTCCAGTGCTGAATTACAGACTCTGTAATAATTTAGGCGTTTTAAAAATGAATTCTAGGGTAAAACTTTATCCGTCAATCTACATTCCATCACTTATAAGTATTACATTCCAAGTGATTTATAAACGCACCCCTCTGGACAAGTCCGGGACACTTAAACAGTAGTCCAAGCTTGGTTTTACCTGGATATTGTACATAGTGAGAAGACTAGAAGATTCCACCTTCTTTACGACAGATGTCGATCCATAAAAACTGTGCCTTTGAAACTTTATAAACATTAAATTGCTTCAAATATTTAAATATTTGGATGTACATGTTATGTATGTCAGTTGCCTTAATACAAATTTATACTAGCGAAGCTCTGATCTGCTATTTTCCAGTATTTCTTCGAGGTGAATTGAAAGTAGAGTTAAAAACAAATAATTCGAACAAAATTTATCTTTATCTTGGCATGTATAGTGATAATATATGTATAGTAATTAACATCTTAATTACAGCTACTTTTATGGGTGACGTTTTATCAGGTCTGTTTTTTGTTGATTTTGTTTGGAGATGCACATTTTTGTGCATCTGGTTAGCGGGCGATAACCTGAGATTCCAAAAGTTCACCACTCATCCAGCTTATGCACAAAAAGTGGTTGTTTTTCTTAGTACTGATTTATTCATATTGGTGTCCTGATTAAGCGTTTTATCAACGATAGTTAATACACAAGCTAAATCAAAGTTGCAATGCAAAAAGGGAAAATAAATACAAAACTATTTATTTGTATCTTTTTATTGCAAGTGGTGGTTTAAAAACAGTGTCAGTGTTTGCTGTTAGAAATGTCTAAGAGCCGTATCGTCAGTCGTTCCTACAATAATTGTAGGACGCTTTTGTGACCTCCTTGATTTCCATAGTCTTTCATCTCCTTCAGAAAGTCTAGATTTCCACTGTTCCGTATCAGAGTCAACGCTCTCCTATTGTCAGGCTATGTTTTCTTCATGAATTGTAGGACATTTCAGGATATGATTTAAATCAAAAGTATGAACAATACAACTGTAGGACGCCTTTATGGCCTCCTTGATTTTTATAGTTTTTTACTTTTCCGTGTCAGCGCTCTATTTTGAGGTTATGTCACAAATATTTATTTGCATCAAATTGTCCATGCTTTTGATTTATATCATGTTTTTTTTATACTCCAACTACCACGAAGGCCTAAGCACCCATTGGGTACCGGGCTGTAGGGGGATACATGGGAAAGGGTGGACGCCACACGGACTCCGGCGAGGGAACACGTGTGCATGCAACATGCACACATTCTGGCTCCGCCTACGAGAACCGCCGGGTGGTACCTCCGCGTTCTACAGTCAAAGACCATCTACCACCTACTGACAATCACAACATCCATAGCCAAGAGAAAAATTTCTCCTGGGACGGGACTCGAACCCGCACAGCGCACGGCGACTGATCAGGAGACCGAAGAGTCTACTACTGCGGCCACCGCTGGAATACGTCTGTTAGAAAGAGATCTACCTAGTAGTCTAGCATGTTATGTGTGATGTGTTTATATAGCCTGAAAGTTCATAGAATTGAAAAGTAGAAATCTAGAAATATCCCAGCCTTACTGAAGGAGAGAAAAAAGAAAATCAAGGAGGCGGCAAAGGCGACCTACAATTGTAGAACGATACGGCCCCAAAAAACTGTATGAAACATTAGTAGGATTGAAACGTTAGGTATGGCAAAACTGGAAGGCAACCATCATTTATTTTTGAAATTCTTGTTCGGAAAGCTGATCCAGTGGCCTAAACAGTATTCTTCTTTGCGGTATGACCAAGACACAGTCCAAATTTGATTGTGTTAGGTCCAACGATTGGTCAAAACTTTTCGTTTAATATAGCGTTCGTTCCACCCTGACATCTTTGGATCATCAGACCTAGCCACAATTTCAAAATATCTCCAAGAATCGCTACTTTTAGTTTCCCGTAGTTGATGGAAATTTTTCAGTGCCAAATACCTTAATCTTTATATCGTCAATTATTTACCAGACTAATATCCGCTTCCTCGCATATTTTACATAAAATTTCTCTATTGGTGACATTACGAAACTCATCTGGATTCACAATTCTAGATATATACTATGCATAATACCAGTATTATAATCACAGTGACCTCTGTGTCATATTTCTTTCGTTCCTTTGTGCCACACTCATAAATAAAGAACGGCAGATCTTGACTGAACACTTCCTTGTGGATTTCAATGTTAGACTTAAGTGCAGACCAAACAATAATTGGACGAACAAGTGGCATCCACAGTGCGGCATTGTTATGCGAAGAAAAACAGTCCAACGTACATGAATGATATTGGTGAGGCATTGCCTCAAATTTTCTTTAATACAGTGGGTAGCTTGGACACTGATACCCATCCAATCTATTGTCGCCCTCTATATACAGGGTGTTCCTTAATGATATGCGAATATTTAATCTACATGAAGAATTAATGTTAGTTTGCTCTATAAACTATGATCCAAAAATGTTTCTTTAGAAAAACTGGCGGTGATGAAGTTTTAGGGAAAAAAGAAAATTAATTAATATTTTCAGAACCGCATAAGATATTTTACTGACATTTAATACGTAGTGAAAGTTAATAAAGTTGTATATTTTTCAATGCTCAAATAATTTTCAGCTTTAACAGTGGCGTGCGTACGGGTATTGCTTTCGATATTTTTTAAGAAAAAAATGGTATACCAACGGTTTTTTGCCAAATAAAAAGTATTTTTTAATTCCCCGTTCAACTTAAAACAAATGATTTCTCTTGAATTGTTTTCCTTCGATGCGCCATTTTTGAGTAAAAAAATAAAAACCGTTCTATTGTCCGAGAAAATTAATGTAATAATTAATTGAAGAATGCAATTTAGCAATAAATATCTAGTTGCTCTGGAATATGTCACTGGCTTTTGATATCTGACAGGTCTCTGTTATAGGCGTTGAGCCAGAGGGCATGAGCGGTTTCATTTCTGGGGAGTAAACGTAACCTACAAATTTAGGTTTGTCACGAAGGTAGGATAAATGTTTGGTATGATACTTTGTAAAATTCGGTAGCTTAGTGACGTTATGACGTCACAAAGCATAGCATAGCAAAGCATAGCATATTTCTGAAATTCCTGATCTTCTAGGGTCGTTTCTGCTATTTCAGATGATTTTGCTGAACTGTCACTGTGCGTGTACTTACGATAAAATGAAAAATGGTACTTTGCTTCTGCTGAAACGAAACACATAGTCTCAGCTAACCCAACAATTCTGCTGCCATTTTTCGATATAGCATAGGCTTTAATCGTATCAGGGCATCGCCAGCAGGTGACCTAGGGGGGGGGGGGGTCAGCATAGATGAACTGAAGGAAAAATTAAGATAAATAAAAAAGTTTTAACTAAAAAATCAGAAAAGCAACAAAAAATTTACAAATTTCAACCTTTAGGGGGGCAGCTGCCCCCCTGCCCCCCCTTAACGACGCACATGCCAAACATTAATTCTAGCGTTATGCTGAATCAAAATTTTTATGATACTTTTACTCCTTACAGATAAAACCTGACTTGAAATGGTTAATTACGATTTTTGCCGAGCGGTCATGTTTGTGACGTCATAACGTCACTAAGGCCCGTATCGTCAGTCGTCCCTACAATTGTAGGGCGCCTTTATGACCTCCTTGATTGTCATAGTTTTCTACTTCTCCGTGTCAGAACTCTATTTTGAGGTTATGTCACAAACATCTATTTGCATCAAATTGTGCTTGCTTTTGAGTTATATCATGTTTTATCAGCCTGAAATTTCCTGCAATTTAAAAAGAAAACATATCTTCACAATAGAAGAGCACTGACGCTGACACGGGACAAGTGTAATCTAGAAATTTTTGAAGGAGAGAAAGGAGTATGACAATCACGGAGGCCATAAACACGCCCTACAATTGTAGGGACGACTGACGATACGGGCCTAAGCTACCGAATTTTAGAAAGTATCATACCAAGCATTTATTCTACCTTCATGACAAATCTAAATTTGTAGTTTACGTTTACTCCCCCGAAAAGAAACCAAATTGTCCATTTTTTACCACTTGTCTCAACGCCTATTATTCAAATCTGTTTGCTGTGACATCTTTTTCATAATTTGGTTTTTACAATCTTGTTAATAATGGTGAATTATTCAAATGCATAAATGGCGGAAATGCATTACGTATATGTCCTTGCCGACGGTAATGGTGAGCAATCCAGACGGATTTATCACCAGAGATATCCCGATCGTGCTTTGCCACATAGTCGAACCTCTTCTAATAGTCATCGTCGTCTTGTTGAAACTGGTTCTGTGCGAAAAGGAACATCTGAAGGGAGAAATCTAAGTGTGAGAACACCTGAAATTGAGGAAGCAGTGCTGCACGAAGTCGAAGAACACCCTGAAAGGACTATGAAGATCGCTAGACACTTAAATATTTGCCATCAAATTGTTTGGA